TATGTCAGTGCAAGTAACGTGAGTTGTAATATTCTCAGCTTTTGGCACAGACCCTCACCTAGAAGCCATATGCCTCTACACTCACCCATTATGTCATCATGACATTGAGCTGTCATTGTAAACAACTCCAACTTTTTGTATGTATAATGTATACAGCCCACATGAAAGTCCATCATGACAATAGCAATATATGTAAAACTGAGCTGTATGACTGAATCTTTTAAATATCTCAGTTTAAGTATCTTTACCCTGCATGTTTGTTATAAGATGTTTTGAAAGTCTTTTCTGTGTATTGGCAATCATAGCAATAAATTATAACACCAATGTAGGTGGTGCATAGACTCAGATCATTTTTACCCTGGAAAAAACGAATCATTATGCAAATAATGATAAGTCTACGGCCAAAGATAAAAGTTTTGCAATAGTTCAAACCACATTAAATTAATTAAAAACACATAAGAAATAATTAATTCTTTTTATTGCCATGGCACTAAATATTATATCTATGCTACTACAAACATTTAAAGGGGAGAGCCCTATCATGCTTAAGAATTTACAGGGTGTCCCATGAGTCCCATAAATCAATTTCAACCTGTACTTTCAAGATGCAATGGGATATATGCATTACAGTTAATTTAATGGATGGAGCCTAATGGAAACACGGATGTCATTGTTCATGGTGTGCATAAAAATGTATTCCACAAGGCTTCCAGCTACTTTGGCATTTGCCATCAAAGACAGTAACACTGATCAAAATGCCCCCCTTCCTGATTTGCATGTAATTAAACACATATTAGACACATAAAAGGACACTGCAACAACATCACTGTGCAAATTGAACACCTGGCCATGACTGGTCTTAAGCAGGCACAGAGCGAATAAAAATTGCTTATCTGGGGCACATAAAGATGACTTGTGTGTTACTGACTGTAGCTTTTCAAGATAACTGGTCATTTAAAACAGCACTGTATGTGAACTAATATAAATGAGTAAATGCTGTGCGGTCTCACATTAATGGCAAGCACTGCAACTGTGGCAGAGCACCCCTATTATTACACTGGAATATCCACTACAGGACAATTGGTGGATCAGCACAGCACCTGTTAAGAACTGGGGCATTTAAAGATGACTGTTACCTACTCAACAGGAAGGGATGAAGCTTGTAGATCTTTCTGCCAGTCATTTGTGGTAAGAATTTTCACATAGCATTAATTTTTTATGCGTTTTTCTCCTTCAAGCAATCCTGTTTGGAATCGCCAATTATACGTTAGGCTCATCTCAGGGCGACAACATCTGCGATTGCGCAGGAGCACAGAAGTGAGACGCATGCAGCCCTCTGATATGCTCACATGCACGCTTGTTTCTCCCACAGTACATCACACAGTGCAATGCAGTGAAATGGCATATGTGCTCACCCACTGACGTCATCCTAAGAAACACACAGGCAGCTGACCAATTGCAGAGAACCTAGATGTAGAAGGAAACACTGGCCCACCTACGCACCCCTATCCCAAGTGGAACAAAATTTGTTGTACCGCTGTGGGCTCCTAGTCATTGCTGGCAGTTTCAAACCCGGCCCATAAGGCTGAGCCTGCAGTCAAAAGTGCTTTGCTGATTGAACCACTAGTGAGCCTGTGTCACTCATTTTTAATGCAATGGAATAGAACGACTTATTTGGCTAGATACAGTGGGGTTTTACATGTATGCCCCACTGTCCCTTTTAGAAACTGAATACATGTTGTGGCATAGCTAACAATTAGTAACCATGGTGTCCATGTTTTCTCTACAATATTTATATTCTACATTATCTGTGAGTTTTTCTATCCCGTATGCCATTATTATTATTATTATTATGAGAGCTCTTGTATTAAAGCTATGCCATTAATGGCTAATATGGAAAATATTACTTATTCTCTCTGTATATCTGTGGGACAGAAAACTAGTCAATTAAATGGTCAAAAAGGCAATCTTCACTACAAGTGCACAACAATAAAGTGGGATTTTTAAAATGGCAGCACCAAATATAAAGAGTGTCAGAATGTAATAAATACAGAGCAAATTCAGTAATGGCAAATATGTTCAGTATCATATTTGTCAATTCTTAAATTCTCACAAAAAATAAATGACCTGCTTTTTCTAAGGATATTTGCGAAAGTGCTGGTACTCATGTCATGGGTCATCTCCTTTTGAGTTATTTGGGGAAAGAACTGACAGATCAAATTCTGAAATACTATTTGCATTTTTTTCAGAGTATAATATGCTATGGACGTCATGGCTTCAGATGCATATGCATAAAATTATGTTGGACAGATACTCAGGTTAAACAAAAAGAGAATCATTATACTGTCTAAAGTGGGTACTGTGTAATTTATGTTTGTTTGCAGCAGTTTCCTCTGTTCAAGACTGAAAGTGGAGTTGACAGAGCCCAGAAAATTATTATAATTACTGAGTAAAAGTGCATTCAATATATTATTTTTGACTTATTATGCTATTTATCTGCATGCACTCTGCATGTAGTCTTATTTCTACAATCAAAATCACGAAAGCAGATTCTATTTGTTTCTTTAGCACGATTGTAACCAAAACATATTAAAATAGGTGGGCATTTCAGTGTCAGTTATTGTGATATGAATTTATTTGGACAATTCTTTCTGATGGCAAGGTATCTTCTCTGCACAGACAAAACCAGAACACACCTGAGGAAACACTGATTTTAAACAAGTGGTTTCTTTGGTTCACATGCAAAGAAATCCCTTACAATCCAGTGACATCAGTACATTCCCCAAAGTGGTATGTACAGCCTTAGACATTTCAGCATTTTCCCTCTGCATTATTCTTCTCTTATTCGTCTTTATAAATTTAGCTTTCTGCAGGAAACCTTTTTGGCATCTTACTTTGCTCCGTGCTCACAAGCATCCACTCTCCTCACTGGCGCAATGCCAGCATCACCTCTCTCTCTTTACTTGAGGAGTTGATGAGCCATTACTATATATATATATATATATATATATATATATATATATATATATATATATATATATATATATATAGAGAGAGATAGTATATATCTTTCACTTTCACACATTCACTGCCACTAAAATGTGAAAAAGACCACCCCTCAATACCAAGTGGGTATTCAGCCATAGGGAAATGAGCCAATGCGTGTATGTGAACAAATGGCCTTAGACACCTATATCATTCCCTACCAAAACAATGAAACTGTGATCTGATACAATTCAACTGTTTATTAAAACATTAGCATACACATTTCTTCAAGCAATGGTAGGCCAACAAAATCAATAACTTACAAAGCAGAGAAGAGGTAATTCAGTTTTGAGTCAAATGAAAATGATATTGGTTGCTGGTCAAATACATAGTATAATGTCTGGAAACAAATGGAGCAAGGCTAGAAGTGTTTTGTGACTTAACCTTTGTTAGTCACATTACATTGTACATACCTTTGTAGGTAGTAAAAAGAGTCATGTGGTTCTTTTCTGTCAGGAATGAATATCATGGGGAAAAAGAAATAAATGTGCACTCTGTTCAAATGAATTTAGCAGTAAAATTTTCACTGGAAAATTATTCTTGCTTGTGAAGTTGTACAATACCCGGCCTACCAATTATGCGTGTTGTGATAGATTTGTTAAAACTATTGCTGTTTTTGTGGATTAACTACTTAACGACCACAGTCAAAATGTTCAATACAATGTTTATATTTCATACCTATATTTGTATATGGTCTTACAACTGCATTACAGTAAATTACTGTATTTGCATATTACCTAATCAAAGCACAACTGACTGTAAACTTGATGTTCCACATAACGCCCCTGTGATCACTGCCCTTGGGCCACACACATTTCATCTAAGCTATGCTTTGAAAATCTGCACGCTTGACATAGTAGTCAGATTACCAATGCTGTGCTTTTGCACCATGAGTAAAAATAGGCCTTTATGACAAAGTCTAGCATTTTTGGTCAAGGTGTAGTTGAGCAATAATCAGAAATCAATCACAGTCCATTATTATAAAGCGTGATGTTTAAGTAATATTGTGATACACAGTTTGGATGACAGAACGTACTGCCATTGAAATGAAAACCAAAAATGGTCTCCGTAACCAACTGCAGTCAGGTGTTTACAGGAATGCATGCAAATCACCAACTTCAATTGGCTAGAAAGACCATATTTTTGTCAGAGCACAAAAACACCACACAGACCTCAATTCTAAGGCTGGCATTCTGGCAACTGGCAAAATAACTTTCATATGAGAGAAAGGAATTTGGTATACCAACCATACAAAGACCCAGAAAAACAAGGTACAAATAGATAGAAATAGATTTGCTGTACAGTAGATTGTAAAATCTCCACTATCACTACTGTAAAAGAGAGCTACCTAATGCATTTTGGCTTCCTGTCATAGGATGTGCCTGTTGTTTAATGTTACAGAAAAAGTTGTAATAAATTATCATACTCATTTTTCAATAACATTATATAAGATATCCAATTTATCATGGGCCATCGGTCAGGTTGACCATGGGTGATGCATCCTAGTTGTCCTGGCTGACTGCTCGGCTGGAGCAGTGTCTCTTGTGGCTGAAAAGGCCAATGCGGGAATGACAGTCTCAATCAAATCTCTATCCAATTTATAGACGCTATATAAGAGTGGTAACAAAATTTAGTGAAAATGAACTTTCTGTTATCTTGAAAGCCATATGTGAACATAGAACTAACATAATAGCTTAATAGAGTCATTTTAATGTGTAAAACAAGTTGGAAGCTAAATCTTTTCCGCATTAGATAGCAATCTTGTACAATATATCACAGGTTTCTCAGTAAGAGATGACTACAAAGGGAACAGTAACAGTAATTGTGATGAATGTTTTAATAATTCATATTATATTATTATCATATTTATTATGATGAAATGGGTTTGAATCCCATTGCTGCCAAAGGGCGAGTTTTAATTGGTGTGTGAAGTGCTATTATCGTATATAGTGTGCGGCAGCGTAGCGTAGTGGTAAGGAGCAGGACTTGTAACCCTAAGGTTGCTGGTTCAATTCCTTGCTAGGGCACTGCTGTTGTACCCTTGGATAAGGTACTTACCCAAGAATTGCCTCAGTAAATATCTAGCTGTATAAATGGGTAACATGTAAAAAAAAAAAAAAACTATAAGCTATGTAAGGATAGGAGTGTCTGCTAAATGCCTGTACTGCAAAGTAACTTAATGTGAATATTCAATTACTAAGAGAACTTTTCTTGTTGTTTATCATTTATTTACTATGTAGGTGCCTAATCCATCAGATTGCAATTCACATTTACAGATTTATGCCCTGTGAGCTGCTTTGATTTACACTTATAACTCATGGCATAACACAAGAGAAGCAGTAGCACATACAGGCACACCACAGATAAAATAAAATGGTGCTAAACCTACTCAACATATACACCAAAATCAGCCCAAGCTCACTACTTTGAATTATGGCCTCAAAATCATGGGCCAGACTGGGAAATACAACTCCAACTCCAAATAATGTACGCGTATTCTTGTTATGGGAAATCTAAGATAAGAGCTTTATGTAATATTAACAAACTTTTTTGCTGTCTGAAGTATTCTGTCTTGCTATTACTCTTTTCCTAACAATTATACAGCTGCTTACTGGTTATTTTACACAGGCAGATTGATGTTGCCAAATTAAACTGAAAGAACCTTAATAGTGTCATGACAGTACAGAAAGAAACAGGAGGGAGACAAGAACAGAGACCCATTTAGGGAAACACACACAAAGGCACAATGGCTACAAGAATAAAAGCCTTTCTTTCTAGGGATCGGCACTTCCAAGTTTTTTTTTTTTTCCCAAGTACCATACTCTAAAAGTAATGAAAACAGGTAATCAAGAAATCATTAAAAAACTAAACATTCTGCACTGTACTGAAGGGAATTTTTCAAAGATAATTTCTTTTTAGTGGTTATGTTCATACTGTACGTGCAGATAAGCTGACAGCTAGTAACAGGCCATTTTTGTTAGAATTTGCAAATTAAAAATAAAGGTAGAAGAAGTGTAACTTCAAAATATCTGTTTTTCTCTATAGGTACATTGAACACTGCTATTATTAATATAAAGCCTTACATGCATTTATGCCTCAGAGCTGATGTCAAATGGCTAGATAGCTAGGAAATTTCTGAATGAAGTAGCTACCGAAGCAGTGGGCAAAGTAGCTTTAATTTTCCATCATAACATAAATGGCCAACAGAGGGAATGCCTGGTTGGCAGTTGCAGATGAACTGAAATCAAATAATGTTATTTAGCTAAATTTAATAGTCCCCCTGCTAATTCAATACCAGACATGAAAGAAGAATAAGATAATGCCGCCACTCCCAGGCCGATGTGTTGGCTCCATCAGTAATTTACTCTTTTCACAAAGGACAACAACCACTTTCTAAACTAGGCAAAAATCTAATGTTGCTGGGTTACGATTTGGTTTAGGTGCTTTCTTCCCTTCCCTTGCAACCGATCTTGGATCACATGCAAAATGTTACACTGAATACATGAAATTAGGTTTTGGGTCAGAAAATTAATCTTGCATCTGTTGTCAAGGGCAGAAAGTATGCAGAGCCTTGGATTTCTGTGCAAAACAGCTTTCTTTTTAAGATAAAATAAAAGAGTCATGTCTGTATCTATAACTGTGTGAAACAGATCAAACAAATATGTGTCCTACAATAATATGCCAACATCTCATTTTATATTTGTGTTTACAGTAAATTGGTGAGTGATTAATCTTGCCCATCCCCTCTTCTTGCTGCAGTATAGTCACACACTTATGCTATAATTCATTAAAAACAGAATGCCTGTGTACCTCACTTTGTGAAGTAGTTCCATGGGGTTGCATAAGTTTTTTATGAGAATTTTTGTTAGCAGAGACATAATTAACATGGCACGTACTGCATACTTCAGGGATGCATTCCAGGGTTTGGAAAAATGGGAGAGTAAGCAAAATTTCTTTAATTACAGCATCAGATGAGCCTTAACCATGAAACTAATTATCTAACACAGAGACAAATGCTAAACACAGATGAGAACAATCCTCTCACATTACCTACAATAACAGAAACATACAGGAATGTTAGAATGCATTATGTATCAATAAATACAATGCACAACGTATTACAGAAACATTATAGGTAAATAAAAACTACTATTAAACATACTGAGTGTATTTGAAAGTTTTAAAATACAGCACATATAATATATAATACATTAATCAAGACATATTAACAGTCCTATTTCACTCAAGTCCAGCAGTGTGATTGCCATTGCCTTAGCTCTGGCTGTTAATGTGAATAGTGCGTTGCACTGAGTCTTCATCTTTTCTGCTCGATTGTTAATGACTTTCAGTGTTGACTGTTGTAACTTGAACAAACACAACGCTTCACTTTTCACTTTCCCTGATTCTACTTTCCTTATGATCTGCATTTTTGTTTATACAAAAATATGATTTACATGTCATGTTTAGTTCAGGATGGCTGCTAGCACTAGTTTTATTAGATGTCCATTCGAATGCCATAGTTCCTTAATGCTATTGATTTCCCCACAATAAAGGCAGAAGTGAGATATTGTGTAGTGTATATTGTGTAGTAGGCAGTGTATATTTTAAAGGCAAAGTCACAAACCTCTGCTGGTTGCCTTTTGATAGTGTAAGTAAACAACATTCTTTTACCATCAAAAAGTATGCTATTCTGATATTGAGGAGCTTTGTTCTCACAGGAGTCCTTGACTGAAGTGTACTGGATTCACAAAAAGGGCACCAGTGGTTCAGCACTGGTCCCCTTAAATTCAGGTATATTTCCTCATTTCTTCAGCATAATTGTCTTCAATCAGTCTCTAATCAGTACAGGGGCGTCGGACTGCGGGTAATGGTGGACCTGACTAACCAGGGCCCTGCCTGAATGGGGGGCCCTTCAAAAGCCTCGGAAATAAATTGATTTTCGTTTCTAATTTTGATACTTTCTATTATTATAGAAATAAATAATAACTTCCATGATAAGTTCTGCTTATCTGCCTATTGTTTCCTTTATCTGCTTATCTGCCTGCGTCCTGCCCCTACGCCCCCCTCCCCCACCTCAAAAGCAAAAGTGGTTTGATCCTCCGGTGCGCAAATCTATCGTGTGAATAACGTGGTTTAAGAGAGCAGTCAGTGGCTTTCGCCAATTCTGAAACCGATATCAAAATCAGGATTTCAGAAACGCAAGGAGCGCGGAGAGCGAGAGAGAAAGCCAAAAGAGGGCAGGCAACTACTGACGAGTTTCTTTCAGACAACAGTTGAGCCTAAAGTACCAATCAGTAAATATGTTGCAGTAACGTAAAATAGCTTGCTAACAAGCGATTAGCTAGTTAGCAGTCATTCATAACAAGCACAAGCTGTTAAAGAAGGGGGATTTTATTCAATGCAGCTAGTAAACATTTTATTAATAGTTACTGTAACAGACAGTGTTTTTTAATCATAACCCAGCGAAGTTAGCCCAGCGAAGTTAGCCTCAGTAAAATACACACAGTTCCAGGAGCAGCTGCAGAGGGAGAAAGATAGGGATGGTAAAATTCACCGATTCGTATCGGTGCACCAGCATAAAAGTTCACGATGCGATTGCCCCGATTAAAAAAGTGTGCACGGGATACAATTTGGGATGAACTCGGGATGCATCGTTTCTAACATCTTTGCATCGGTAAAATCCGATTTATTTATATATAATTATTAGTAGAGGCCCTATGCCTTTATTATTTAGAAATGTGACCAATAATTTTATATTTAGATTGATTCCTCCTCTCTAAACTGTTTCTCAAGCGCTCGCTCTCATCTCCACTGCTGTCAGTGGGCAATTCTCGTCAAGTCTCTCGGCCAAGTCTCGCGCGAGTTGGAGGCGTGTCCGGGCGAGTCACAGATTATCATAGTGGAGGAAGAGCTACACGTTCCACCGAATTGTTACAAATCAAATGTTTGGCGACGCTTCGGATTTTTCAAGAGAGACAGACAATTTGACAAGACGCATGCAATTACAAAATATGCCGTGCCGATATAAAGTACACAGGCAGCACGAATAAGATCAAACTATCAGTACCATGTTGAATTGCATAGCATCATATTCTTTTGCATCGCATCGTGTCGCGTTGAATCGCATTGTGTTGAATCAGATCGTGTCGAATCGCACTGCATCGCAATAGGGGTGAATCATATCGTATCGCATTAGTAGTTGCTTCATATGTATCCTTAATGCATCGGATCGTTGGCAATGCATCGAGATGTGTATGGCATCGGCCTCAGTGATGGAGATGCACATCCCTAGAGAAAGAGCAGGCACCTCTTCATGTTCTGATGTAGCTGAAGACATGAGACAAGGTGAGCTCAGCAGTAGCTAACAGGTGTTCTAGCTTCCAAGCTACCATTTACTAGGCAGTTTCAGTGAAAATGACAGTAAGAGTAAGACTCTACAGAGAGTGAGCTGTTTGTATTGTGCTTTAATTTTTTTTCTCTTTTGAATTCCTCTCTAATTACATTGTTTCAAACAGAGACTAAGTTTAAGTCTAATCCTCATTGAACTACAGCAAGATATGTGATTCAAAGCACACTTACCTTATTGATTGTCAGCTTTAAATGCATACCAACCAACCTAATAATTAAATATAACATAATAAATACATTATATATTTTTTCCATCCCTTTATTTTCTTGGGATGGGGATGGGGGGAGGTGGAAGGGGGCGGGGGCCGGGCACACTACTGTTTCCGGGGCCCAAAATTTGGTGCTACACCCCTGAATCAGTATGACAAGGATGGCATATTGGTCAGTCAGAGTTAAATGTATTAAGGGTTTCTTCAATAAAACAATAATTGAAAAGCACTGATCAAAGGCTGTGACTACTTTACTGGCCATTTTGCCAGTAAACATTGTTAACATCGTTAGTGCCACTCACTGCAGAGGGAACCTATGGGAATTCAGTTTGTGAGTGAGAACTATGGGTTTTTCTCTGGCTACTTTCTCTGCTTACAGGCAAAAGAAACATGTATGTATGTAGTATGGC